AGGTTGATTTGGAACTGCACCGATCTTCCAGGGGTATTTTGGTCAACCGGGAAGGTTAAACATTCTAGCCCTCTAGATTGAAAACCAGAAAATTAGAAAATAGTCCAACTGTGTAAAAAACATTTTATGAATTGAGAAAGAATGAACAATTTCATGAAATCAGCCTGAAGTTTACTGATATTTCTGTACTAAAGAGTATTTCCAACTGGGATGAAAGTTCCGCAAGGCGCATCTTGTTATGGTCCTGTTCTCTAATGAAGATACTCTTTTGACACGCTTTGGCTAATTGATTATATGATTGTATGAAGTATTCTCAGATCGAATGGAGGAACTTAAGAAAGCTTGACCCTCAAGTTGCTCTCTTTTGTTACATCTTTTGCATCAGCCAGGGATGGTTTCAATGAGGCAAAAGTTCATTGCGTCCATGTATTCTCATCTGGTGTATAAGACTATAAGGTATGAGCTTTGACATAGTTCTCTTCCCTGCTGAAATAAACTTCAATTCATAGTATCCTTTTTAGACCGTTCTAAAATAATTTTCATCTTTTCTTGTGGTTTCTCGCATTTGTACCTAAGTTTCAACTTATCTTTTTCTTTTCAACTTCTATCCTAATAAATTTGTCTCAAACCCATAGAACTACATTTCACTTTCAGGACCAAGCTAGTATTAGCTTAGTGTGTTCTTGGGTGAAAAATATACATCTCATCACCTCAATGAGTTTATCACACAGCTCTTAGTTGCATCTCATGGACACAGTATATGATTATGTCTTGCATAGTTTCATATCTGTATTTGCTTACCTGAACAATTTCGTGGCTAAAGCTTGCTTAGTGATAAAGGAAATAAGGAAGGGGTTGGGGTGATCAGGTTGAGTGCGTCAGTGAGATATGATAGTATCTGACAAAGTTGAGTGAGATTCTTTGTTTATCTCGTGCAACCTGTATGGAGAATAACCAAAGTAGAAGGATCATATCTCCTTAAATATAGTCAATTTGCCATATCTCAATACTAATTCAATAATATTAATGCTTAAATTACTTTAGCAACTTCCATAAAAAAATATTATTGTAGCGGCTAATTAATTCATGGAATTAGCAGAGTATCATTTTATAGCAATTTTTGAGATTTTGTTTGATCTTTTTAACTACAGGTTAATATGTAAGATTAATTTTTCATTATTTGAATTAACTTCTTGTTTAAAATGTTCAGAAAAGTTAAAGTAAATAATTAATTAATTTATTTAATTAAATACGAGTATATAAAAAGTTAAAAGTACATAGTATAAGTTAATGTTGATCTAAATTTATAATTTTGAAAAACTACGACGGAAAAGCATAATCGTTTTAGAAATTGAAGTGTGGGTCATTTTGCTATGAATTTCTTACTTACACTAATATTTATGCAAGATAATGTTTTGTTTTGAATTTCTAATTATACCCTTATTATATCTCAAAATACGTAAGAAGTAAGTAAATTGTAAGGTTAATTATGAAAATCGCCTTGTCAAATCACTTAAGAAGTAAGTAGTTGTTTGGGGGATGGAGGTAGTATTTAACTCAGAATTCTATTAAATGTAGTCATCCATTGGGGGACTCCTCGATCTCGAGTCTTCACTGGCGCCTATTAATACGTCTTTTGTGAACCCGAAATCCGGAAAAAATGAGTCATCCCTATCAAGATTGTCAAGAAATGTATGCACTATGCACTGATGAATTCTTTTTGTATCATGAATGTTTCCAAAGAATGTGTTGCTATTGAATAAGAGTATTCTCTTCAAGAAATATATCACCAGGATATTTATTTGTACCGTACAGGTAGGAAAACCAGTAACTACACATCTAAACGTAAATGGTAACAAATGTACAAATGGCAATGAATACAAAAATAAAAAAGAATCTCTACTTTGACATGGACTGAGTCGGGGGAGGAGTGTTCATATGCTGGTTTCCATATATTCCAGTAGCCTGCTGCTGCTCAGCAAGTAAACCATCCCATCCTGCAAATGATGCATCCCTTCATGCATGTTACAACGCATCTATAAACAGTTGCATAGTCAGGGTATAAGTTAGATTGGATTTACACAAGCCGGGGGAGTTTGCATCTCCTACCTACGTCCCTGTCTATATATAAATGGTTGAATACATGTATATACATGTATAAACGTTTAAAATTTACATTTAAATGAAAAAACTACGCGTGATATTTCACTAAACACTAAATTGTAGCAAAAGTTGCTCTTTTTTGCTGATACTAATTAAAATGGCACTTCAAGATTCACTTTGTTGGGATAGAACATAGTTCTCACTTTGAAAAAATAAGAGAGAATCAACCAACTTAAATATAAATTATATAAGTGTCTATCTAGCTCTATTAGCAATTTTGTATAAGACTTTTTAGGAGGTGCCCAAAGACAAATCCGTGTGATTGGCACAAACCAAACAATATATATATATGGAGTCAAGGAGATGTCTGCAATCCTAACATTTTTAGATATTAGTTCATTTTATTAATTATTTAATTCAGATACTTCAACAATTTCATTCAATTGAACCACAATCTCAGCTTTGCATTTTAGGCTATTATGACTTGCCAAATGGGCTCTATTCTAAGAGCCGCATTTTGGCAGTTTAAACCAAAGGAGATGTGAATGATACCTTTAGCTGCATCAAAACCCCTGTTGCGGAGCTCCCTGAACTCCTGGCATAGAGAGCAACAAGAGCAAAAGATGTGAGAGACAATATCAGAATAAGGAGCTTCAACAAGATTAAACCTCTGCCTCAGCTTGGTTCTGTACTTGGATCCCATTACCCACTGAAAGCAGAATGCAGGCATCATCAACAACAGGTAGATAAATGAACCTAATGCACATTCTGCAATTCAATCACCCAACAAAATCACTTTCTGAGTGCCCCTCAGCTTTTTTCATGATGACATGGCAACCTTAAAAAGTTCAAAAGGGCAGTTAGCTGTCTGGCTTACTCATCTCTCCATTCTCCAGGATCTCAGATATCTGTCCAAATGTTACGCATGGCAAAATTGCTGTCATAAAAGCTGCCACACATAAAAAAAATACATAACATTCAATGGCTGTTTACAAACAAAAAGTTCAGCTTAGAATAGCCTTATTCAGTTTGTTAAACCCTTTATCTTTGACTATGTACCCTTGTTGAATTGGTTATTCATTAAAAACAATTTGATAAGACTATAAGAGGTACTTTTTTGGCTGAAGTTGATGGACAAGTGATATAAAGCAGAATTTGGGTTTAAAGGAAGAGGGGCAGAAGCCCCCATGGGTTTACTGAAGGCGGGGATGGGCTTGAGCCCACCTTCGTGGGCTGGTTGCTGACCGTTAACTTTTATTTTTTTATAATTTTCCTGATTTGTTTCCTATTTGGAGTTACTTTTGGGAATAAGGCTTGGATGTTGTTGATGTTGTTTCCTATTTGGAGTTAATTAGGATTTCTATTATTTCTTTCCTATTTGGAGTTAATTAGGTTTTTTATTATTTGTTTCCTATTTGGAGTTAATTAGGATCTCCATTATTCTATTTCCTATCTGGAGTTGATTAGGATTTCTATGATTTTGTTTCTCAGTTTGGGAATCAACAAATGGGTATTTAAACCCCTTGTTCGGATTTATTCTTCCTTATCTATGAATAGAATTGGAGTTTAGCCTTTTGGCTCTGGACAACGGTTTCTATCGTTGATTATTCTGGGTAGGGATGGACTCGGGCCGGGTGGCCCGACCCGGAACCGGCTCGGGACCGGTACTGTTCCGGCTCGGCATGACCCGGTGTCCCGGTCAGTGACCGGTCCGGGTAGGCCCGGCCCGTGGGTTTTCCAGTCCGGGCTCGGGTCACCCAAAACAAGGCCCGACCCGGCCGAGCCCGGGTCCGGTTTGGGCCAAAACCTTTTTTTTCAATTTTTTTTAAATTTTCGGGTTGGGCTGGGTATTTTGGGCCATTTGGGGTGGTTTGGGAGGTTAGGGGTGGGAGGGGGGTTAATTAGGAAGAGGAAAACAAAAAAAAAAATTGATAATGGGCCCGGACCGGACCCGGTGGTTACCCGGGCCGGTCCCGGGTCCACCATTTCTGAATCGCCGGCCCGCCCGGGCCTAGGCCTGACCCGGACCCGGCCCGGACCCGAGTCCATCCCTAATTCTGGGCAACGATTTATTCCGTTTTGATTTTTGTTTTCTATTCTCATCAATTGGTCCGACCTGTCGGGTCCCGTCCTGCCGAAATGACGAGATCTCAAAATGACTGCTTGACAAAGATGGAGGTCGAGCAAACCCAGATGAGGGTTGAGCAATCTCGGATCAACCAGACCCTGGAAGAACACGGTGTGCAACTGGCTGAGATCGCTGCATCACTGGTGGCCCTCACCAAGGCCCTCGTACCACCAGCGATGGTGGACACAACTCGTCAGCTGCTACCTCCAGCGTTGCTGCCTCAATGCACAGTAGCAATAGAAATCCACGCAACTCCACGCCAACCTTGTTGCTAGCGTTCGATGGAGAAGACCCGATCGGGTGGGTGGCTAGGGTTGAACAACAGTTTGATTTGAATGGGACCCCACCGGAGAAGAAAGTCGCAGCCGTTGTGGTTGCCATGGAAGAGGGTGCCCTTTATTGGGTAACTTGGATGAGAGCACACAAACCCAGCATGACCTGGGAAGAATTTGCGCAGACATTGGTGGCTAGGTTCGTCAGCCGGTTCAAGGGCAACAGGTTTGAACGGCTTTTCGACGTCAAACAGATCGGTTCTGTGGAAGAATACATTACCCTTTTTGTTCAATTGGCCAGCCAAGTTCCTGGGTTGTCGGATGATCATTATCTGGGGTATTTTCTGAATGGGCTGAAAGGGCTTATTTAGGGTCCTTACGGTTGTTGCGGCCAAACAGTCTAGAGATAGTAATGAAATTGGCCAGAGATATTGAGGACAATCTGTCCTTTCAGAATGGAGGCCAAGGGAGTCAATCCTACAATACGGAATCGCGTTCGGACAGTTTTTCGCGACCAAGTGGGGATAACACCACGGCCATGAGTGGTTGCAACATAAGGGGATCGAGCTGCAGCTTCCCTAAAGATACTGGGCAGCCCCTGGAAGACAAATGTAAGTCGGTTTTCATGTTTCAACCTTGAGGACAAGGTTTTTTCGGGGGTGGAATTGATATAAAGCAGAATTTGGGCTTACTAGAAGATGGGCAGAAGCCCCCGTGGGATTACTTTGTGGGCTAGTTGCGGGCCATTTAATTAAATTTTATTTCTTTATAATTTTCCTGATTATAAATTTAATTAAATTTAATTAAGTTTCTTATTTGGAGTTAATTAGGATTTCTATTATTCGTTTCATAGTTTGGGAATTAGCAAATGGGTATTAAACACCTTGTTATGATTCATTCATTCTTGCTTATCTGTGAATAGAATTGGAGTTTAGCCTTTTGATTGTGGGCAACAGTTTCTATCGTTGATTTATTTTCTGTTCTCATCAACATGATTATTTTTTCATTTTTCATGCTTCCTCCTTTCCCTTCATAAAGCTGTTTCGAACTCGGTCTTTTTTATTTTCATAAATACCCTATTTAGCGAGGCTGAATATTTGTTCGGACAATGTTTAACATTGTACAATTAATAGAGAAAAGGGTCTGATAGGGCCTCGAACTTAAAAAAAATGTCAAATAAGGCCTTATATAGGAGGTTCTCTCCGGCCGACGCCATTTGGGGCGGTTCTTGGTGTAATTTTTCGATGAAATTTTGTGAGCATCTTATTCATTAAGTCTAGTTTACTCAAACCAAATTTTAGCTAAAACTTCAATCGGGAATGCATTCAAATAAATTCTTGAAGATAACTGCTCTTTTAACTGCGCACTTATCTTCAAGAATTTATTTGAATGCCTTCCCGATGAAGTTGTAGCTGAAAATTGGTATGAGTAAACTAGACTTAATAAATAAGATGCTCAAAAAGTTTTATTGAAAAATTCCACCGAGAACCGGCCCTAATGGCGTCGGCTGGACAGAACCTCCTATATAAGGCCTTATTTGACTTTTTTTGTAAGTTCGAGGCTCTACCCTTTTCCCCAATTAATATAATACGTGACTGGGAGAAGATGATATGGATTTTAGATAGTCTAAAGGGTCAAATAGGTACACGAACTAACTTAAATCGGGAAGACAGTCAAATGATTTTCCGAAATGTGTTGCGTTGTTTAACTGCGCATCTATCTTCAAAAAATCATTTGACTGCCTTCCCGGTTGAATTTTTAACTGAAATTTGGTATAAGTAAACTAGACTTAATGAAGAAGATGCTCAAAAAATTTCATCAAAAAATTCCACCGGGAACTTCCCCAATTGGCGACGGCCGGACAGAAACTCCTATATAAGAGGCTAATTGAACACTTTAAGTTAGTTCATGAACCTATTTGACCTTTTAGCTGGGGTACTTTATTTAGGACCGTCCCACAAAATGAAAAATACACAACGTTGTCTCCTTATTTTAAGGGGGGTACTTTATTGAACACAACGTTTTCTCCTTATTTAATAATTTATGCAAGTTCACCAATAATTTAATAATTGCAGAGGGATTTACTTTTAAATCAGGAAAAAAATCCAAGATAAAGTTACATCCAGTGCAAGAAAGCCAATAAAATTCTAAAAGTATACTAACTAACCATTGGCTTGATCTTCATGGCAATCAAATAATCCAGTGCTCCAGGGGACACCAATAGATGGTGGCTGACCAGGTTTGTGCTTGGGAGCATACGAAGCTACAGCTTGAACCATTTGTGGGGCATCTCCTACAGGATTGGCTTCAACTATCCCCATTTATATTGTCACCTCCCAAATTCTTCTCTGGGTTCATGCCAAAACCTTGCAAGGGCCTATTTATACAAGGTACTGTCTTGTAAAGTAGGACACATTTCGTGTACGAATTGAAGTGTGACTTTTCAACCCTGCAAGAATGGAAAAGGTTGAGGCCTTGGGGGCTCCATGATTGAAAACCTCCCTACCAAACTATCCATTTTGACTAACAGACACACCCAACAAGCCAAACATTGTATACCACATCTTGGTTTCAATAGGTATTGCAAATGATAGGAGATCTTGGACGGGTTTTGGGTGTAATTTTTAGCATATATTTTGAGAAATAAAATGTTAATTTATAGGCATAAAAAAATATATTAGAAATGCTCAACTATTTTCCAATGGATTAGTCATCCTTCTAATTACATACTCCCTCCGTCCCAAAATGATAGTCATGTATTTCCTTTATGGGATGTCCCAAAATGATGGTCCTATTTTCCTTTTTGGAAAGAAAGATGTGGTCCATATCATTTCACTTTATTATACTCAAATCTCAACCATAACTTTTACCTTTTCATCCACTATTAAAACTTGTGCCCGAAAGAAATGAGACTATCAAATTGGGACGGACGGAGTAGTTCTCAAGTTTAATGATTCTTTAATCATTCTGTAAAAAAATGGTATGAAGTAAATAACATTGTCCATTTTACTAAAGTAGATTCATTATGGGGGCCATGGGGCGATGGGAAGTAGTTCACTACGGATACACATGAGGTGATGAGGGCAGTACCTTCTTTGCTCTCCAATTCAAGCTGACCCCATAATAAGACCAATAATGTTATTATCTCAATTTTATTTTATGGTCAGATAGACAATGGTAGTTTCGCTTCACCTTGTTTTTCCTTTTGCTTGATCACACCAAACGAAAATCCAAATAAGAACAAACAAGATGTTATGATTCAGTCAAGAAAATTACACATCATATCATCCATATCAAGCCATACGGGAACTATTCAGACTGCACCAGAAATACTCAGTCTCAGACCAGGTCAATTTTTTACAGGAAACATAACAGGTCTTAAGATCTCCAAAACCCTTCATTTAAACTGAGCCTGAGCTGTTTGGGACAAACACAGTATTTATTTACATAGGCACAAAGTAGCTGGCTAAAGAACACGCAATGACAACTACTCCGTATAAAATATATAGATCAACTAGAGGAAAATGACAATGAAGAAGTGAACACATATCCAAGGATTCCAAACTGTAATCCTTGCATAATAACAAGAACTTGAATACTCATTAGAAGATGATGACTTAAAGAAGAGTATATATTCCATTGCACATTTGCACCAAACTTCACAGCCAAAGGCGAACATCTTTTGAATGGGAATCATATTCTTCAAGTTCAATGACCAATCAATCTCTTCCACCAATACAAGGGAGAATGATGAGAAGGGGGTGGGGTAAGGATATTAAGCATGGTCTCCCTCTCCTTAGGTGTTAGCGGGACCCCCCTAATGAGATTCAAAGCCATGATGTGTACATTGGTCTTTTTCCTGTGTCTTTGGAAAGCCCAAACACCTCCAACAGCACCAGCAGTAATAAGCTGTAACAAGATCTATTAGTCATTGATAAATCCTCCAGAAAGCTGAATTAATGAAAGGAAAACAAAACATTGAAAATGAAAAAGTTAAGTCTATAGTCTGTAACTGACCGGTGATAGCCACAATGCCGCTGTCTGAAGATCAAATTTTGGTTCATAAAGCACTGTCTCACCATAATCGTCCTCCAGTTTTTTGAAGATCTCTTTGTCACTTTTTCCCACTCGAATCTCATCTCGAATCAACTTAATATAATTCCCAAGGAAATTTAATACATTAAAGATGGAAAAGAGCGTTTTTGCCAGCGACATTCTCACTTTTCAACTAGAAGTTTGAAGTGAAGTGCAAATTATTATTAATTTGTAGTATTGGCTAGAAAGGTGAAAAAACAAGTGTGTGTGTGTGCATATAACTATATATATATATATATATATATATATATATATATACACACACACACACACATACATACTACCTCCGTTCCTAAAAATTCTTCCCGGTTTGACTTGGCACGCTTATTAAGAAAGTGGAATAAAGTAGAAATGTATGGTTGTGGTTGTGTAAGAAAAAGGTAAAATGAATGTGAGCCACACAAATTGTCCAAAATGGGAAAGTGGGAAGTATTTTTGGGAACAGCCCAAAAAGGAAAGTGGGAAGTATTTTTGGGAACGGAGGGAGTATATCTTAAACAGCTAGAACCACTTTTACAGCATACTCCGTAATTTTTTAAAAACAGCACATACTATACATATGAATATTCTACATGACAGATCTTTTTGAAATGATGACTCATAATATCTTCATATATAGTTGTTGTGCACTTGTGCATACTCTCTATCTGTTCAGCTGTTCTCTATGACTGCAGGACAGAATCAACTTGAATGCCATAAGGAAATGGAAAGAATAACATATGTTTAGATTGCTAAATAGTCATATAAATAAAAAGCGTTTTCAGCAAATAACAAAAGTTGATTTACTGAGTGCCGAACATTTTTTATTTCCTCCCCATTTCCTTTTCTTTCAAATTTTCTTTTTATTTGTCTCCCTACTTTTCCATCAAATTTTTGGGGTTTCAAAAGAACCTAATGGTCGGGATGTCATCAATGGTGCCCTTCCAAAGTGATCCCAAAGTGAAGTTTACGGTTCGAGTCACATCCCAATCAAATATGCTAGCATTATCATTCACCGGATATTATAACATGTTAGAATGTTGCCCAAAAAAGAATCCAAGGGGTTCATTTAGATGCAGAGAAATTTAGAAGGAAACAACTTGTTGAGGAAATTTAAGAATTGGTTCAGGCATAATACATATATTTCTGAAAGTATTTTAAATTATTATTTATGTGATTATATAAATAGTTGGCAAGTTAAATCTTTGTACAATTTATAAAAATAAAGCATATTTCATTGCCCTTTGCATTTCCGGAGGTAAATACAAAAAACAGCAATCATTTTCTTTCCTTTCCGTAACATTTTCTAGGATACGTACATAGCCAAAAGGAAGCGTAAAACAAGTATAGATCTCAAAGAGCTAATCAGCTATTCAGCTTGAGGAAATTTGAAAATTGAACGCAGGTTGCTATTAATGTATGACATGGGCAGAAAAGCAAAGCCTCTGGAACGGATTGAAAACAGAACCTCTGATATTCAGCAACATTCATAGATAGAAGCTCGAGGAAGATGGGGGAGAGAAATACCTTGCGGAGAAGAATTGCAATGTCAGCTTGAGAATCTTCGATGGATTGACTGCCACACTCAGTGCACCTAACGTTGTGACTGATATTTCTTGCTCTCGCCTCCACCACTCGCTCCTCCCTCACGCTATCCCCTTTCCCCTCCATCCTGCCCTCAAAAAGCTTAACCAAATAATAAGGAAACGCCCAAATGCTGGAAATCAACGATGCCTCGCAGAAACTGAAAATGTATCGGTGGTGCGGAAGAAATCGGGCGGAGGTTTGCAGCGACGGCTGCAATCTGCAAAGTATGGTGATAACGACGAGTGCGAAAGAAGCTCCAACTCGTAACCCACTACTTCAGTTGGTTAAATTCGAACTTGAGCGGCTTATCTCAGAGGGTGGATTGTATTGATCAAAGAGAAATGGAGAGATTTTTTTTGCAATTTAGAGAGATGGAGAGATAAAAAAAATAGACTTAGGTCTAAGACAAGGTTCATAAATGGATCTTAGATAGGATTAAAAATGGATGAAAAATGAGTTAAAAGTGAAATAAAAAAAATGAAAATAAAAATAAATTAGGAAATATGTGGGTCCTACAAATAAAAATTGTGAGATCAAAATGGAACACATGCCTAAGTGTATGTAAGAGATCACACTCTTGCATTTGAGATGCTCTTAAGAAATTAAGTCTAGCTCAGTATCAATTTTGGTCAATGACTCAATGTATTTATCAATTACATATGTCTAATTAGTTTGAATTATATAAATATGAAAATTTTGGATTAATAAAAATATAATTGATCATATGGGTTGGATGTTGGACATACTTTTACCAAACAAGTAGGTTTGGGATCCATAAAAACCAAGAAAAGCGAACCAAATTATCTAACTTTGGACTTCTGCTTTTTTATTCGATTTCTATAGTATTTGACCAATTCGATTCTGGTTCAGTTCTAGTTCAGTTTCAATTCGATTCCAGTTTATATAAACTTGCATTAGTAATCTTCATTTGAGATGCTTCTAGGTAGAATTTTTTTGATATAATTTAGTGAGCTTGTTTTTTATCGAGTACTCCCCCCGTCCCACTAACAATGAGACAAGAGGGAGTGACACGCCAATCAATAAAAAATGGTTTGTGTGGTTGATATGAATTGATAAAAAACGAATAAAGTAAGAATGATTAAGAGTCACACAAACTTTACCAAATTTGATATGGGACAATTTTAGTGGGACGAAACGAAAAGGTAAAATGGAACAATCTTAACGGGACGGGGAGAATATAAATTATGTGGACCAAATTGCAGCTTAAAATTTAATGAAAAAATCAGTTAAATAAATTATTGAAAAACATTACGAGAAAGCACTACAAGTCCACATAATTATAAAAGAACCGTTACGAGTCTACAAAATAATAAAAAACGGTACAAGCCTACAAAACTATCATGGTACCAGTCTGCAACAACACTGTTAAAGAAGAGTTCTTATCTATTTATGAATATTCATGCGTTTTAGACCGACTATTTAAAGTGCCATTCAAATTGACAATGAATACCGAAAATCTGATAGTATCTACTAGTCTACTAACTAGTAAGAAAGGGGAACGTCAATTTATCGTATTCTCACAAGTGAAAGACCAAATAAGTCATTCTTCCAACAAAACTACACAAAGGAGAATAGCCTTATCTCACGTTGTTATTATATTAACAATCACTCCAAACCAAACAAAGAAAACTAGTACAATCTGGATGATAAAAAATAACAACTCAAAATAGAATATACTATACAAATACAAAAAGGAAAATATCACTCTTAGAAGTACTAGAAGGTATTTAAAAGAAAAGGATTACTCCATACTTGATTACATCTTTAAACAGGGGACACCAGTAGGGAGTCGTCACAATTTAATCAACTGATATAGAACCAAAAGAGGCCAGATGTGAAATCAAAGCTTCAACTAGATCCCGGAGAGGAGCTAAGCACTTGGATCTGCATACATGGCAAGAAATAAGCACACCCCAATGACCACTTTTCAGACCAAGCCTACACGTCATGTTATTTACCTATTGGCCTAATTAGATCTTTTTTTGGACATTTTACCCCTTTGATCCCTTTATTTAGGGTTTAGGTTTTAGGATAGAGGTAGGCCAGTTTCCGGAACCAGTCCTGATCTCGGATATGGAGGGTGGGGACTGGCCGATCCAGAACCAATACTGCTCCTGGTCCACCCCTAGTTAGGGTTTTGCATTGAGTGTTTAGTAGTGGCAATGGCTGTGGAGACTACTCACTCAATCCCTCTCTTTAGGGTTTGGACTTTCGCTTTCAGAGTTTTTAGTAATGGCAGCTTCAGGTTTATTTTATTTTATTTTATTTATAAAAATAATTGTACTTTGTTTTTATAGTTGTATGGTGGACAAAGTTGGAGTTCTTGATGGTAGTTTGATAGTAAAGTGTGTTATTTGTCAAAAGAAGATGGACATGATTTGGTGACCAATTTTTCATTTGTCATGTATTTATCAGTCAAACCCCCAAATATATATTAAAGAAAAGTTCAAAAGACAAATACATATGATCAACTACTACAATAAACCAAGCTAGCATACCTTGTTCACTAGCAAATTTACTTGTTCTCGGTACATCTCTTTCAGGTCTACTATATCCGCTCTCAGTTCTTCCAACTACAACAAACAGAAACTTGCCATGAGAATATAACCCAATCTAATTATTTCCGCAAATGTAATTTGCAAGGGTGGAATCTCCAATGAACTTTCTAGAAATGTTATCATAAACCTTAGAACTACAAATGTGTCTTTTGCAGCCCCTAAATGATCTGAATTGGTGGTCCCTGACCCAAAGGATCCATTTGGAACGCAGAAACTCAGAAATTGTAAGGGAACAAAAATATGGAGGAAAATATAGGAGAATTTTGTAAGGAAAGAATATGTCGAGGAAAATAAAACACCGGTCCAAAGTCCAAACTCAATAATTTTAGTTTTTCTATTTGTTCAAATTCATTTTTATTTGGTTGTATTATATAAAGAGAAAATTACCACTTATATGACCAAAACATTGTGTGTTTCCCTTACATCTTTGTTTTCCTAAAAGGATGCCAAATACCATGCCCCATACAACCGAGTGTTTCCTTTTAATTATGACATTCCATACATATTTAGTAATATATTGAGAAAGAATCATCCATGGTCATATTTTGGGAATTGGCATGAGTTTTACTCAAGTATAGGTATTTTTCCCTTATCTAAATGATGGACAATCAGAACATGAGTAAAAAAACAGTGTTTATATTTCATTTTATTTTGCATCTTTCGAGGTAAATTCAAAAAAATGGCTTCCCTTAACATTTTATTTCATGTCCCTCGCATTTTTTGGGATCTGCACATAGCCCAGAGGTCTCTCCCCGTCTATGAACTACATACTAGTATACTACTAGTACCCAAATAAATAAGGGAAATTTTGAATTTGCACCCCGTGGTGTACTGTTAGACCCCTAATGGATTTTACCTCGTAACATATACTGATATACCCCCATGTGTGATTATTCATCCAGTGATTTGAATCATGAGGCGCAGCAGAGTCAAATACCAAGGTGCATCATGTGGCACAAAATCTAAAGGGCCCACTTTGGTGTACAGTATCAGAGATTCAAATTATGTGGTGCAAGGTCAAAATCCAAAGGTTCCCACGCGGTTTACGACGTTTAACTGACAATAAAGTTCCCTATCCGTGATAAAATTATTTTTTAGTAAAAAAAGTTAACTAAATTTTTTTATCCATGTCCCATATTCAGAAACTACATTAAAAGTTTTATAAAGTTGCAAAAAGACTCAAATTTGATAAAAATTGGTTACATAAAGTAAAAGATGAAGAAGGTTTTACGTTGACCGAGAAATAGTGGACGGGGAGCCTTCTAATGGGACGGAGGTAGTACAATGTACACAGCCTTCTCTTGTGATGGCAATTTGAGAAGTAATTGGGGAAATAAAAGGTAAAAACAAAACAAAATTACCTCTTCATCCCGCTCACCCATTAACTCAAGTGCTGCTGAATGCCTCCGCCTTAGTGCTTCTAGCTCAGCCCGTATTCCGGGCAGCATTGCAGCTTCTGCTCTAAGCTTCTCACACTGCATTAGAAACGAATAAATAATAATGTCAAATAAAGGAACCATCAAGAAGGGATAATTACATCTTCCTCCGCGAGGTTTGGACAGATTTTTAAATGACCCTCACGGTTTCTGAAAACTAAAAAACTAAGTCCCTTGATTAGTTAGCTTTGCGGAAAGGATGCCTTTAACGAGAAAGATTAAAGAATATAGTGATATATAATCCGGTGTTATTAATGCATTTCATGAATTTATATATAAAGCTAATCTTCAGGGAAAATAATGAGGGCAACTCTAATGGGAAAAATCTGACTGGTTGAGGTGCTTATTTCAAAATCTAGGGGCCTCAAGAATTATTTGGTAAGTTAACCAAACATCAGGAAAGGTAGGCATAGTAAACCTAAATAAAAATGACATAAATAAACTTAAGGTTCGAGAGAATACTCACTTCTGCCGTCATTTTTACCAACTCTTCGGCAAGAGAGTCCCGAATGGCTTCCATAGATGCCTAGATTTGGTCAAAAGGATCAAAAAGTAATTTGTAAGAGTAAAACAGTAACAAAAATTAAAAAAACATTTCAGATATGTCATCTTTGGTCTTTCATTATTATAGCACTGAACTGAACTGCGTATAAAAAACATATATATTACAAATTTATGATGAAAACATACTAATCGTGTCATGTATGATGCAAGCTCGCCTTCCTTCTGGCGGAGTGAAGCTTCATACACATTTGGAGTCATGCTCTTCACATAGTATGGGCTCATCGTAACCTCTCCAGTGTTTCTACGATCAGAAGAAGTCTCCGAAAAGTCTAAAGATGCCTGCAGAAAATAGCTTTCCTCCATACTGCTCAAACTGCTAGCACTTGAAATCTTACGTGCCAAATTTCCTGCAATCAGTAATTAAATGATAAGGTAAAGAAAAATAGAGTCAGATGCACGCTTGATTGGTTATGCTTGAACTGGTGTTGACTTACCATTTTCAAATCCAGACTTTTGCCTTGCTATTGGGCTTTGATCAGGCACACCAGAAGATTGAACACAAGCCGCCCTTTCTTGATCCAAACGGATCGCTTTCTCCCGTTCTAAATCCTGTTCATAATTGAAATTGGTCAAGTCTTCACGAGAATGTGGTTTATTCCTTTTGAGGAAGTTTCACGAGCCTGAGTATGTCCCTCCTTTTCCCTCCTTGCATGTTCAACGACTAGGGAAATGACAGCATTAAGACTTAAGAGTACACTATTTGGAGAAAATAGCGGGGCTAAGTAGGCCATTTAGTAAGTTAAGGCTTGCCAATTTTTTAGTGCATGTAACATCTATAAAAGGTAGAGTTTGAGTAGTCTTGTTTATTCAGATCACAAA